AAAAGAAAAAAGGAAAAAAAGAAAAATAGAAAAAAAAACAGAAAAGAGTGGGAAAAAGGAAAAAATAGTCTCCGTGACATTCAGGGGATTTTCCTTTGTGGACATGCAGAATTTCTATGAATATAGTTTTTTGTAAACATTTTGTAACAATTTTGGTTTCATAGTAACTGTGTTACTTGCTGATCATTCTAGGCTGATGTAAATACAATTTCCAAAAAATAAAAAAAAAAAAAGAAAAAATTCTGATTATTTTCCTTTTTAAGACACTGTGATATATCAAAGTGCACAGTTTGCTGTATGAAGTAATATGGTTTTAAATTTTAAATAAATAATTTCTAGAAAATAATTATGTTTATGCCTGTTTATACCAAACATCTCCCTTCCTTCTTGCTCAGATTCTGCCCCAAACTCCTACTGTTTAACAACATCCCAACTTTATTAGCCATAAAGCCAGTGATGGTAAAACCAGTTCCCAGCTGAACCCAAATACGTGGGAAATGCTGCTGGTGCTGCTCACCAAGGGGGCTGTGGCACATTTGGGGCAGTGGTGACGATCTCAGGAGAGGAAGGAAAGATCCCAATTTTGGCCAAAGGGAGGGAAGAGACAATGAGGCTCAGACAGGGTAGTTCTCCCTGTCCTCACAGCTTGATATCAGACAGGTAATTAAGCCTGGATATTCCATGAAGAGCCATCAAATGCAGGCAAACCCCATGGGAAGAAATGACGATGTCTGACTCAACTCAGAAGGTTGAATTATTTCTTTATTATAACTATGCTAAAATACATCAATAGATTAAATAAAAGGAGGATACTAAAACTACATACTACTTTCTCTGACTCTAACACAACTTGTGACCCTCTCTGAGAGTCCAGCCCCAGGTGGGTTGGATTGGATTGGGTTGGATTGGATTGGGTTGGATTTGCCACCAGGCTTAAACAATCCTCACCAGAATCCAACCAAGCACTCACCCCAGGTAAACAATTCTCCAAAAACATTCCACATGGGAAAAACAAGGAGCAGAAATAGAAATTGTTTTCTCTTTCATTTCTCTCTGTGCACCTCTATGAAAATCCTGAGAGGGAGAGAAATGTGCTTGCCACAGTTTACCTGGAGGCTGCCTCAGTTTTTCATCACAGAGAGGTGCCGGAGCCCCAACAAGGCCACGAGGTTCATAAAGGCTCTGTTTGCCTCTTCCCTTCCATGTAAGTCAAAAATCTTATTAGCCCGATGAAAGCTGGGAGCACCCTAAAGGCCAGTGTTTCTTTTATTAGCCTAAATCTTTATGGCTCTGCTTTGTTATGTGGAGGCAGGGAGGAAACCTCTGCGGTTTCTGGGATGGGAGCAGCCAGAGCAGTTGGGGCTGTGCCCTTCCTGCAGAGATAAAAAACCCCAAAAGGGGAGGCACAGCCCTGGGAGCAGCTCTGGGCTTCAATGGCACAGCCCACCCTGTACAATGAGAAATAAAGACAATCCTTTCCCATTTTAAGTATTTTTAAGGGTCACCCTCAAAAATCTTTCACATCTGTATTCACTTGAGCCCCTAGAAAAGCAAAGCTTTGATGCTGGTGCTGAGGGGGATCAGCAGAGCCAAGCCCAGCCTCACTTTTATGCTCTGAACCCTGATCAATATGCAAAGAACATAGCAAAAAAAAATAAAATAAAA